CGCCCCCTTCATTCTGAATAAGAGTGGAGAGCTCATCAGGAAGGGAGGATGCCCCTGGGCAGGCCACTGATTAGCAGGACTGGCTTTACACAGTATAGACAGTTCTCTATGCCAGCTATTATTAATTATATTTTACAGATGAGAAAATGGGCCTTCCATAGGAAAAAAAAAAGGATTTTTAAAGGGCAGAACGAGGGTATTGATGGCAATGTGTTGCTCTCAAGATGAGTTCTACCTGCTCAGAGGGAGGCTCATCCTCACACTTATGAAGGCCACGTTGAGTGACATATTCACAGGTGCTTGGAATTGGGATGTTACCATCTTTGGAGAAGGCTACCGTTTTACCTGTTACAGGACAGAGTTCTGCTAGAAATAGGGGAAAAAACCCACCCAGTTGTTTAAAAAAATAGTGTTAGACTGGAGAGATGGCTTAATGGGTAAAAAAAAACCTTTGGCATGCAAGCCTGATGACTTGAGTTTAATCTCCAGAACTCATGATAGAAGGAGAGAATGAACTTCTGAAAGTTGCTCCCCCATCCTCCACGTGTCTTCTGTGGAATGTGCACAGCAGTGTGTTACATGTGAGTAAGCACTCATATGCAGGAGCACACACACATCACACACACACTTACAGTAATGATGAAGTAATGAAACTGTAATCTCCTTCAAGTCATTTCATTGTCAGAGCATATTGGTGTCTCGGGTGTCTCTGTATGAATTGTTGACAGTAACGCTTGGGGCACACAGTAGAAAGGATTCACCCAGCTTTGTAGGGACCCCGGGCCGGGCATTTATTCTAAGCGTGTAAAAGTCTGTTCTTCAAGAGGATTCAGGCTTTGGGATGTCCCCATGGACCTCTGCCATGTCCCATGTGGCTTGAGTCCAGGACATCTGGTTAGGAACAGTGGGAGAATGAAGAAAATTTGTGCATATAGATCGAAGCTGTGACAAGGCAGGGTTCTGACAACGCTGCCTCAGTCTGGAACCTCAGTGTGTTTATTAGGTACAGCACAGGGGGAGGAGTTAGCTAGCCCCATGTCTGTGGGCAAGCACTCTCAGGCTACAAACGTCTGGAGGAGGGACTCACAGTTGACAGGTTTTGCATACCCTGACCAATGATCTATAAATACTTATGTATACAGGCTCCCTAGGAGAGCTTTGCTAGCCATCTTGAGCTCGGCCCTTGTGGGTAATGGCTTTGCCTGTTGTCCCAAGGGCACAAGGTCTTGGGAGTCCTCAAGAGGACATGACAGGACATACCCACGTCAAAATACACACTCATTCAGGGCTTTCTCCTCTCTGTACAGAGCTCTTCAGTTTTCATTGCATGTTTGGGCAGATGATCTTGTGTCCATTCTCCTCGCTGGGTTATCAGCTCCTTAGAGACAGGGAAAGTGTCTCTTTGACCTTAGTGTAGTAAAGTCACACAGCTTGGTGGATATTTTGAATACATTTGCTATTTTATTAGCTGAGTTAAACAGGCCTAGACTGGTATCCTAGCAGATGAGTTAAGACATGGGACGGGGCTCTCAATGCACTTGGAGAGGTCAGTGCTGCCTTCTGTTTGGACCACCGTAGCCATCGATACATTTCCTAGGCAGAGTCTGGAATTACAAAATGCTTTAGAGGCTTCCCAAACTGCCTTCAGTTGATTGACCCTGTAGTTCTAACTCTGGCAAAGTGCTCAAAGCACTGTAGCATTTTTCATCATTTTTTAGAGCATCTGGGACTTCGTATATAGCAGTCACAAGAGAATGTGGTTTGTCATTGAATGGAAGACACGGAGAGTGAGGTCATGGCCAGTCTTTATCATGTGTGTTTCTACTGAAAGCCACAAAGCATTTAATGAGCCTTGACCTCCTATCTTGGGATTCCAGTCTTCCTCTGCAGGAGCAGCACTTGGTTGATTGGAGACAGTGTTTGGTGTATTTAGAGTTGGCATTCAGCCCTTCTAGAAAGGAAGAAAAGAAACCACCTGTTTTATTTCTTTCTCCCCTGGAATAAGAGTCACATGGAAAGCCAATTCCTAATCACTTGTTTTCTTTGACTGTTACTGTATTTTAGAAAGGGCTAAAAGGAAAAATTGCACTAGGATAATAAAATAAAGAAACCTTACAAAGTTCACCAGAAGTCTGCAATTTGTCCAGGCCATCGGGAACCATCTGTAAACTTTCATAAATTTCCCCGAAGATGCCCTATTTGAGTGTTTACCTAAGTAAATGTGAAATCGACCTCAGGTTTCAGGCCCATGGGTTTATTTTCCGAGGCATTTTAATCCTGGTTAGGGATGAACAGGCATGCGTTAGCACAGGTCTCACTGTTCCCTTGGCATGCCTTCTTTGATTCTTCCACTTTGTACTTAGATTGGATTCCTTCTGTAGAGCAAGTGGACAGTTTCCCTTGATGTGGCTTTGGGGAAAACAGTCCGTAGTGACTGTCTCGCTCTAAGCAATATGCTTCCGCAGGACAGGTTGCCCCATCAACTGTGAGAAGATGATCCTAGGAGACTCTGACATCTTCTGAGCAGAGATGAGAAACACATGAAGGCAGGAAAGTAAGAATTCTGGCCAGAGAAGGTTAAGCCAAATTCTGTGTCTGGGCATACTAGCATCCAGGGACAATAGTACATTCTCCTGCCTCAGGTCCAGCCACTCACATTGGCCCGGCTGTGCAGAAATAAATCACCCTTGTTTGATTTTCTAGGAAATGTTGACAAAATAAGCAGAGGCCCACGTCCTTCTCACTCAGGTGACAGCCTTTTCTTTTGGAGGGAAATAGTTTCCTCTTCTGTGCAGAATTAGAAAGAAATCTTGGCCCCTCACTGTCTCAGTGACTTAAAGTCATGGTGGCCAGGAAAACTTATAGAAGAAAGAATTTATTGGGGGCCTACCGTTTCAGAGGCTGAGTCCATGACTATTATGGCAGGAAGCATGGCAGCACGCAGGCAGGGGTGGTGCAGGGGCACTCGCTGAGAGCTTACGTGCTGAGACAACGGTGATGAGACAGAGAGAACAGGAGCTTGTTAGGTCCGGGAATTACTGAAGGAAAACCTCAGACTCAGGTAGAATGCAAAATCACAGAGCATTTATTCTGCAGAAATTCACCGATTGGTAAGGAAGAAAAAGGTCTTCTCAAACGTCCTCCTAAGTTAAGTGTGGGAAACGCTGAAGGAAGACTTCAGATTCAGATAGTACGCAAAAGCGAAGAGCCCTTTATTCGGCAGAAATTTCCAGCATGCAGGGGCCGCTATTCCATAGAACAGTGACTCTGCAGTGAGCACGCAGGCTCAATTGAAAGAGGATTACCCAGTGTGGTTAGGCAATCTTTATGTTGATTGGTTGGTGCTGATCTAGGAAACTCATGATTGGTTCTGCAGCGGGGGGACTTCACGGAGTGTCCAGGAAACAAAGCGTGCCCAGGAACAAAGATTGCCCAGCTAACAAAGAGTGCCCAGGTAACAAAGTATCATTTTGACTAGTTAGACAATGTGTCTCTAACTGACCTTTAATTTGATTGGTCAAGTGCTTGGGGATATTACTAAATTATTGTTTCTGGTTTTCAGAGAGGTCATTGAGTTATTGTATCTGGTTTCCATGGATTGTAGTTTCATGTTTGAGAAAAAAACTCAGACCTGTTCAGTCTGAAGCCAGTTTTGAAGCCTGTTGTGGAGTCAGACTGGCTCATTAAAAATCATTCCTCTCCAGTTAATTCTGCTAACTAGGAACCAAGCACGCAAATATATGAGTCAATAGGGCTGCTCTTATTCAAACCACTTACTCCCAAACCTTCCATTAACTCTTAGTTCTTTCCATTGTTGGGGAGTAGCGGGTAGGGAGTGGGGCTGTCATTTTGTATTTTTTCTTTTTAAAGCTATTGAATTTAATTCTTTGCTTAGAAACTTTTAGTCATTTTTCTCTCAATGTAAGTAGGTATTTAAGTTTGCAGATCTTTCTACTTTCCACAAATTTGATACAATATTTCTGTGTGTTCTGTACAGAATATTTTCGAAGTTCATTTTTTTTTTCATAAGCCTATGAATCATTTAGAAGTGCTTTTTAAAAGTCATGTGTGTTTGGAAAGATAAGCTGCTTCATTGATTCCTCCCTGCTTGCACCGTGATTTTTGTATGACACAGACTTCCTGATCTGCTACGATATCCTCTGTGATGACATGCTGGCACCAGATTCCACAAATATCCCACATGTATTTGAAAACAACGTCTTTCTGATTATTTGCATTGGTTTAAACTAGTCTCCTCCAATCTGTATAGTATAAGCTACATGATTTATTTTGTTCACGATCTATCAGTTTAGACTTTTAAAGTCTTTTGAGACAGGGGTCTCACTGTGTAGCCCAGGCTGGTCATTTCTGGAGACCATGTCCATTTTGCAGTAAATTGTACAGTGGAATCTTGAACATGGTAAATACCGAACTGTAAGAACAGAGGCTATTTATATATTTGTCATAACTCTTTCAGGAACAAGTAACAGAAACTCAGCTTCAGCTGGCTTTAGTAAAAAGGGCTACTCATCAACTCCGGTAGATGAGAAATCCTGGTGTTCCCTGGCGAGGAAAGGTCACTAGAGTCAGCCATTTTTAATCTCTTCCACCTGCCATTTTGTTTTGGAGGCAACCTCATTTGCACTTTCTTGTGCAGGTTACAAAATGTTTCCAAGTAGTATTGGTCAAGGAGCGCTTCTCTCTTCCAGTCCTGTAGCAGTGGTACAAGTGGTATTTGTCAGTCACCTGTCCCTGACCAGTTCATTTGACTGGATGTGGTCATTCTGCCATCTCTGATCAGCTCCCTTGACTGGGTGTGATATCCTCTGATGGACGGGGGTGGGCTGGGGTGGAGGGAGGTGGGGGAGGGTCACACTGCCCTCCTGTGACTAAGGATGAAAAGGGTGGTTCTCTGAATAAAAATTAGGAATTGGACAAGGGAACACAACAAACGCTCACACCATCAGTTTAATCTCCTGCCCGTTTGCCATTCATTTCAGGACAGCGTGGAGTTCAGAAACATCTGCAGTCACTTGGCTCTGCAAATCGAAGGGCAGCAGTTTGACAGAGACCTGAACGCTGCTCACCAGTGTCTGAAGACGATAGTGAAGAAGTTGATCCAGGCGCTTGCTAATCTCCCATCAGATGCCCACGTGGTTGCCTGCGCTTCCTTGAGACAGATCTTGCAGAATCTCCCAGATGTATGAGCATGAGAGACAGCCAGACTACAGCTGGCTCTGCTAAGAGAATAGGATCCTTCACCTTCTCGACAGCCAGCAGCAGCGGGTGTTTATGTTCCCAAAACGACTTGATAGTTCATGGCCGAGTGTGACCGAGAGCACCTGTAGCCTTCAGCACGATAGCATGTGGTGCACATACTTTTTAAAGCTGTAGTGTATGTTTTAAAGTATGGTGACTTATTGCTGACTTTCTGAAATAGATTTCTCTTTGTGGAACTAATTGGGTTTTATATATCTGTGTATACTGATTACCCATCTTAAGCATTGGTTTTGAATGAATGACATTTGAATCTATATTTGTATTATTGTCGGCTAGAAAGCTTAATGGGGTCCTGTATAGCAGAAGGACCATGGCTCTTCATGTAGTTTTGAGTAAGTGGGACATTTAGTAGCTGACACCATCAGTGTGCTGGGACCTTCGTTGTAGGCAATAGCAGTGAGGTGTCAGTCATTGTGAGTTCAACCCTGTCGTTAGTAACTTACCCCTGGGCGGGAAGAGCTGTTTCTAAACCTTGTACTATCGTACAGTGCTGTGCACATTTAAAATGACAGTGAACTCTGGGGTACTGAGCATCTATAATATGTAAATACAAGTACGTGCCATTAAAGTCTCAGTGTGGGACCATCTGGCTGCTCTTACTGTTGCTAAATATTTCTGTTGGAACAGGAAAGTGCTGGGAAAAGAAGGAAGGAGTGAGCACTCCAGGAATTCTGTTTGCACAGTCCAACGTTTGGATCTGGAAAGAGAAGGTGGTTTCATTACTATTTTATGTTTGGTAACAATTATCTATACATGCTTTCTATTATTCAATGATGACTATACCTAGAGCTAATAAAGGCCTCACTGCATCATAGAAGTTTCTTATGGAAACGGCATCAGGTTAGCAGGGGCCAGGGGATGACCGTGTATATGAATAAATGACTTGTTTCTGAAAGAATTAATACCTGGATCTGTGTGTTGGGGTGTATCTGTCTAAAATGAGTGTCAGTAGCGATCAAAGCTTCTTTTATTGAAAATATTTTTTTCAATAAATATATCCCATCATGGTTTCCCCTTTCCTCATTTCCTCCCAGAGAAAGCATAAAACCATAAACCATAATAAATAAGCAAAAGACCAATAAGATAAAAAAAATGCCAAAATAAAACAATATGAGACAAAAAATAATCTCCAGAAATACCAGTGAGTTTGTTTTGTGTGGCTGTCCACTGCTGAGTAGGCGGCCTGCCGTTAAGCGTGGTTTATATCAGTGACACTTCGTTTCAGAAAGCTTGGACCTGTGCAGACCCTGCGCTGCCACAGTCTTTGTGAGCTCCTACGTGCATCGGTCCTGTTGTGTCTGGAAGACCCTATTGCTGTGGGGTCATTGTCATCTATTCCCTCTGGTTCCTACACTTCATCCCCCACTGCACTATTTTCCCAAGCCCTGGGTGGAGGGTTTGATGAAAATATGATGACAGGATGCTCCAAGGCCCCTCACTCTCTGCACATTGTCCTGTTGCATGCCACCATATTTGCTCCCATCTACTATTGGAGGCAGCTTCTCTGATGATGGCTGAGCAAGACATAGATCTATAGGTATATAGGAATGTTGTTAGGAGTCATTTTATTGCTGCATTCTTCCAGTGGAATAGAATTATTTGGTTTTCTCCTGGGCTCCTTGCCTATCTGGGCTCAGGTTCTTGGCTACTCAAGCAGGAACAGGCATGGGTTCCATCCCATGGAGAGGGCCTTAAGTCTGATCAGACAGCGGTGGGTTACTCCCCATCTTCCGTGCCACTGTTGTGCCAGCGCATTAGGCAGATGGGCCACCATTGCATATCACAGGGTTTACTGCTGGGATGGTGTTTGCCTTTCTTCTGTGGTAGTGTACGGAGCACCAACCCACACCAGGAACGCTAGTCAGGAGGAGTGAAGGGTCAAGTAAGACACCAGCTCAACTTCTCCATGTTCAGTGAGATATGTGAGCATTGCCTTCAGCAACAGGGCCTTCCCATCAGTCTGTGAAGAGCAGCCAATAGCCTTGACAATAGCTTGAGTTTCCGTGGAGCCCCTTTGGCTAACAACTCAATTAGATGCAGCCCATTCCTAGCACCTTTCACTTGATGGTCCAACATGTCGAGGTGGGGCTTTTTCTGTCCTGTTATTTAGTGATGCCATTTAGAGTTCTTTCATATATGTATATATTTTAAGAAGCTTTTATTAGAGTAAATTACCATATGGTATCACCTTAAATGGCCCTAAGTGTTACTGTCCCTCCCTGTTTTACCTTTTTTATGTCCTTCTTCCCTCCCTTGTTCTGTTAAATCCTCCCATTCCAGTCTCCTCCATCTCTTTATAACTATATATTCCATTACCCCTTCCTTGGGAAATCTTCCCCTTTCTACTTGTCCCTTAGTAGGTAATTAGCTCCTGAGGTTATGGGGCTTGTAGCATGCCTATTGACGGCTTAAAAGCTAACATCCTCATATAAGAGAATACACACCATATTTTTCTTTTGGGGTCTGGGTTACCTCATTCAGGACTATTATTTTTTTTTCTAGCTCCACTGATATGCCTGCGAATTCCATGATTTGGTTTCTTTTAATACTTGATTAATATTCCACTTCGTAACCATATCACGCTTTCACTGACCATTCATTTGTTGATAGACATCTTGGCTGTTTCCAATTTCTGGCTATTACAAATAGAGAGGCAATGAACATAGATAAGTGTCTCTGTAGTAGGACGTAGAGTCCTTTGAGTATATGCACAGGAGTGTGTGCTGGCTAGTTTTACGTCAGCTTGACATAAGCTATAGTCATCTGAGAGGAGGGCACCTCAGTTGAGAAAATGCCTCCATAACATTGGGCTATAGGCAAGCCTGGAGAGTATTTTCTTAACTAGTGATTGATGGGGAAAGACCCAGCCCATTGTGGGTGAGGATACCTGTGGGCTGGTAGTGCAGGGTTCTATAATAGAGCAGGCTGAGCAAGCTCTGAGGAGCAAGCTAGCAAGCAGCACCCCTCCGTGGTCTCTGCGTCAGCTTCCGCCTCCAGATTCCTGCCCTGTTTGAGTTTCTGACCTGACTTCCTTTTGATGATGAACAGTGATGTGAGGTAGAAACCAAATAAATCCTTTCCTCTCCAAGTTGCTTTGGGCATGGTGTTTCATTGTAGCAACAGTAACCTTAACTCGGACAAAATGATACCAGAATTGTGGGGTATTTCTGCAATAGACCTGGCCATCCTGTTTTGGGGAGGTTGTAGAAGGAACCTTTGGGGGTGGAAAAAAACATCATTGAATGTTGAGAACTTACTGGACTGTTCTGTAGGAGAATGGAAGATAAGGACATTGAAAGCAGTATAAATGATGGATGCCAGGCTTGTGAAATTTCAAAGGGAAGCAAGCACTCTACTAGGCCTTTTGTGTCAAGGATCTGTAGTGTCTTACCAGCTGGCACTGAAGAATCAACTGTGATTAACAAGAGACCAGTATCAATGGGGTGAAATCTTCAAGGAAATGTTTCTTGGGAGTTAATACACAGAATCTCTCTTCTGTAGGTGGCCTGGGTTATAACTTGTGCTGGCCGTCAAACCTGGTACTGTATGAAAGTCTCTCAGGTGGCACTGGTTTGGAAGGCCTGAGCCAATCATGGAGAGCAGCCGAGGGTTGGCAATGTGAGAGGCCAGGAGAGGCCATTGATGAAGGAGCACCTTCAGGAGCAGTGGGAGTCTCAGGATAGAAGGGGTCATGGAGAGAAGTTAACACCCGGAACCATGAAGAGAGCCCAGGAAATGCCATTAGTAAGAGTGCAGGCAAGTTTCAGCAAGAGACCAGAGCATTTGGAGATGCCAGTACCATGGGGTGACTACCAAGAACAGTAGCAGCTTGGAGTGGAACCAGACAGAGCCTAGAAGACAAGCTGTGTGTGCTAAAGAGGGTGGAGCTGGAGAAGTGACCCCAAGTTCTTTGCAGGGGCCCAGAATATTATGAGTGGATCCTAGACATCAGGCATTGAATTATTCACCATGTTGAAGTTTGTTTTTGCTCTGTTCAGATTTTGACTGTCTTCTGTTCGTCCCTCTTGAAGTAAGAAAGTAATTATTTTGTATTTTATAGGAATCCACTGTCGAGAGACTTTAAACTTAAAAAAAAAGATTTTAGAGTTTTGCAAAAACATTGGATTTTAAGAGACTAGATATTTTAAAAAAGACAACTCTTTAAAGTGTTTGAATTTGTATGTATATGGACGTTTTAACTTTTAAAATTTTGTGTTGTGGTGTTTTTATTAATGTGTGACCTTAGGGATGGCCAAAAAAGGAAAGATTATGGTTTAACAATGATGTGTTTGAGTGTCAAATTGACACAGGGGTCAATTGTTCTGGATAGTTTTATGTCAACTTGACACAAGCTAGAATTATCGAAAAGGAGAGACCCTCCTTTGAGAAAATGCCTCATAAGATTCAGCTTCGGGGCATTTTCTTAATTAGTGATTGATTTGTGGAGGAGGAGAAGGGCATTGGGTTGTGCTATCCCTGGGCTGGTGGCCCTGGGTTCTATAAGAAATCAGGCTGAGCAAGCCATGGGAAACAAGCCAGTAAGCATCACCCCTCCATGGCCTCTGCATCAGTTTGTGGTTCCAGGTTCCTGTCCTGGTTGAGTTCCTGTCTTGACTTTCTTCGATGATGAACAGTGATGTAGAAGCATATGCCAAATAAAATGTTTCCTCCCCAAGTTGCTTTGGCATGGTATTTCATAGTAGTAGTGACCCTAACTAAGTCTAGTGATATAGCTGGATTGTGGGATAGATCTAGTCCCATCTTCCTGAGAAACCACTACACCGATTTCCATAGTGACTGTCCAAGCTTTCACTCCCACCGGCAATGGGAGAATTACGGCTTCCCCACACCCTCAGGGCATTTGTTTTACTGAACTTGAGCATTCTGACCAGCATAAGATGAAATCTCAAAGTAGCTTTTATTTGTATTTCCATGGTGACGAAGGATGCTGAGCATTTCTTAAGTGTTTCTCAGCTGCTTCTGTTTCATCTTTTGAGAACTCCTCTGCTTAGCTCTGTAGCCCATTTTTTAAATTGGGCAATTTATGTTCAGTTTTAAAATCTTTATATACTTTAGATGTTAAACCTCTATCATGTGTGTAATTGGTTAAGTTCTTTTCCTAGTCTGTAGGCCTGCTGTTTTGACCAAATGCTGTTGCCCTTTGTCATACAGAAGCTTTTCAGTTTCCGGAGGTCTCATTTATTATTATTAATTATTGTTGGTCTCAGTGCCTGTGTCATACTCTCCTGTTTAGAAAGTTCATTTCCTGTGCCAATGAGTCCAAGACTATTTCCCACCTTCTGTTCTATCAGATTCAGGATGTCTGGTGGCAGTCCTTGATCCATTTGGAGTTGAGTTTTACACAGGGTGATAAAGGTGCATCTATTTGAATTCCTCTGTCTGTACGTAGCCATACAGTATGATCAATACCATTTTTTTTTTTTTGAAGATGCCGTGTTTTCTTCAGTGTGTATTTCTGGCTGCTTTGTAAAACATCAGGTGTCTGTAGATGTGTGAACTTATGTTTGGGTCCTCAATTTGAGTCCATTGAGTATGTCTGTTTTTATGCTGATACCTTGCTGTTTTCATGACTGTAACTCTGTAGTACAGCCTGAAAGCGTGATAACTGATGATGATAACTCCCACAGTTCTTTCATTATTCAGGATTGTTTCAGCCAACCTTAGGTTTTTTTGTGTTTCCAACTGAAGCTGAAGATTATTTATTCAATTTCTGTGAAGAATTGTGTTGGTACCAGGGAGCTGGTTATTTTGGTGACAGGCCTGACCATGCTGCTTGTTGAAGGAATGTGGACTTTGGGACTTTGGATTAGGAGTGGAGTTGAATGATTTAATCAGGGCTTAATACTACTAGGAGCATGGAAGACAATGGTGCTGAGAACAATGTTGGATGCCTCAGCTGAGGAGGTTTCAGAGTGAGAGGGCGCAATTCCAGCCTGACTTCACCTGACTAGGCTTGAGTTTCAGTTTCCGTTTCTTTTTTTTTCTTCATTAATTACACTTTACTCACTTTGTATTCCCCCCTCCCCGTGGTTCCCTCCCTC